CCGGCAGCCAAGGTAATGCTTCAGCCATGTTCTTTGGGCAGAGACACGAGCAGATTTCTGGGAAACTTTCTTTCTCCTCCCTCCTCTCCTTCTCCCTTTCCTTTCTTCTCCTTTGCTTCTTCTCCTCCTCCTCCTCCTCTTCTTCTTCTTCCTCCTCCTCCTCCTCCTCCTCCTCCTCCTCCTCCTTTTTTTGTGCTGGTCCTAGGGCTTAAATTCAGGGCCTGGGTGCTGTCCTTGAGTGTTCTTTTTTTTTTTCCCCTCAATGCTAGTGTTCTACCAGCTGAGCAATAGCTTCACTTCTAGCTTTTTTGGTAGTAATTGGAGATAAGAGTCTAATAGACTTTCCTGTCAGGCTAGTTTTGAACAGTCCATAAATCTCACCCTCCTGAATAGTAAGGATTATAGGTATAAGCCACTGGCACCTGATCATTTCTTTTTATTGCTGAATTATTATTCAGAACTCATATGGGCATACCAAATTTTGTCTATCCACTTAGCAGTTATGGATATCACCCCTTTGGAAACTTTATTATCATAACACTATCCATTTTTACTTTCTTGATAATTTCTCATATTTCCTGTTTTTCTTTTTTTTCCTCTTCTCCCTTTTTCTCCTTCCTTCCCTCCCTCTCTCCCTCCCTCACTCCCTTGCTTCCTTCTGGCAATACTGAGTTTGGACTCCATGACTTGCAGGTGTTCTGTCACTTGAACTATACCCAACTATCTTTCATTTCCCTTTACTTCTGCCATTCCCTGGCATGTTATATTTACCAGAATAGGATCCATCATCCCACATTTCTTGTTAATTTGTACTTCTTTCACTTCGTTTTAAGTCTCATGATTTCTGTGACTACCCACATGCGGACCCTCAACAGATACTACACGTATCTATCCTTTTGTTCTCCTCGCCTGAGTCTCTGCATGTCTGTGTTTGTGATGAGCTCATCTTCTTTTCCTCTTCAGCTTACATCTACTGTTTTCTCTGCATTCCATGTGGTAGCATTGCCAATCTCCTTTATCACCTAACCCAAAGCTGACCCCTCCCCTCCCATGCAGTCTCCTTAGTCTCCTGTTTTCTTTCTCCTCTGCTCTGGTGTTGGCCCTCACCTTCTTCTGTGTTTACTTGGTAAACAGGGACATCTCTTGTGCTTCTCATTTTTGCTCTTTAAACCCATCCTACCTCCTGGTTGCCAGGATGATGTGTTGACAATACAGGTTTTAAAACCTGTGTATGATTTTCATCATCTATTAAATGAAGTCTAGCCATAGAGTGAGAGTGGTTGCCCCTTATACACCATACTTAACTTGGCCAGAGAGCCTAATGGTTGGGAAAATCAAGTGTTGGCTTTAGAACATATATTCTTAATTTCTAAGGTTCGTGTTTCTGTTAAGAGGATTCTGATCCCAGTTGTGAGTGTTTTAGTTTTTAATTTTAATTTTATTTTTGCAGTGCTGTGGAGGAACCCAGGGCTTTGTACATGCAAAGCAAGTGTTCTATCATCTATACCTCAAGCCAGTATATCAATTTTTAATTCTGGCCCTACCCTGCTGTTACCAAGATAGTCTCATCAGTTGCCAGAACTTATTTTCTCATGTGTAATGGAAGTCCATCCCCATTCTAATACTTGGACTACTGTCAAACACTTGGAGAATGGGAGATGATGTTATAGGGCTGCTACCTCTTCTGTAGTTTGCCTGCATGCTGTCCAGCCATGCAGAGTGAAAGCATGTTCTTGTAGGCCCAGAGAGTTTATAAAGCAGTCAAGTTTCTGTAATTAAACATGAAAGGAGCCAAGGCAATTGTATTTATTCTTTGCTCATCCTAGACTTTTGAGCATATTCAGGCTCCAGATAGAAACACACAATTCAATAAATACAAGTTAATGGCTAGAACACTAAAATTTGAAGGTTTAAATTTATGTTCTAAAGTAAATTTAAAAATAACCCATGTTCTTTCCAATTTGTGGATAATTTGGCAATTTGTATTTTTTGTCTTGTTTTTAAGGAGTCAGAAGCTTCAGCAAATGAATATATGACTCAACCATAATTTGCTATTAAATACTTCATTCACCTGTTTTTTAATAACACCTAGTTGCTTATTTCTAAAAGAGTAGCAGTAACTAATATTTATGATTAAACACTCTAAATAGAAGATGTCATAAAAATCATAATGAATTTAAAAGATTCTAAAGTAATTGTACCTTTAGTTTACAAGTATGTAATAAAAATTATTTTGTTTTCTATCTTAAATATTAAGTGAATAAAATTAGTAATTTGGAGGAAGTTAAAGAGAAGGAATATGTGAGCACATACTCTGCATAGAATCTTTAAATCTCCTATAAGATGAAATGAGATTAATTCAAAATGGTCTTCACAGTGGTATCCAAGAATGGCACGGTGTTAAAGCATTTTAAGGAACCAAGCTCCCTTAGTTTCCTAACAAAGTAGATACAGTATTTATGAGGAGAATCAATACTGTGAGATACTTAGGGTGCAGTGAGCTTTTTTTTTTTTAACCATTCTTTTTACCACAAAGAGCCACAGAATAGAGTATCATGTATTTTTAGTTAGTATTTTATGTGATGCTTTTCTATTCAAATGAGAGTGTCACTGTAAAGATAAAATTACACCATTTGGGTCCTCTAGGTTGTAATTTTGCTTTGGAGGAGCCAATCCTGTTGGATTTAAATATTCAGACTAATTTCCCCTCAGATTTACCTCTACTCCCTTTCCCTTCCAGGGCCCAAGCATCCTGTTTTGACCAGGCTTGCTGTCTGCCCTGGATGACTAATCGTCATGGCACCTAGTGCATTCAGGCAGGCCTGTGCAGCGGAATCGTCATACCTAGTTATGTCTGCACACCTGATGTTTTATTAACCAGTATTGATTTTCTTACCCGGGGGACTTTTTTCTTCCTCAAAAAAGGCAACCTTGCAGGAGTGAAAGACATTGCAGGGAGGAATTTCTAATGAGCCCCTTCTTTCCCTTTTTGTAGCTACTCTTTAATGTAGCTTCAGATTTTAAGTGCCTGAACTAAAATTTCATTTTAAGCAATTCCATTTTGAGAAGTCCTTTTAAATTTTGACTTTCTGTAAGGATATTATTACTATTTTTTTTAAAGATTGTGCTGCTTGACTGAAATGCTTAGTAGTGCCTGTAAATTCGAGCATTTCATTATAGGTTGCAATGAAGCATGCTCACATGCAATGAAATTCCACGAATTCTGGACTATTTGAGCAATACTTCAAGAAATAAAAAGGAAGAAAAAGCTCATGTCATATTTCAGCTGGTCCTTGAGCTTCTGCTTTAGGATCAACTTGAAGAGTAATGAAATCATGAGAGTTACGAACTAGTGTTATCTCATAAAATGAATATGTAGCTCAATAGTTATTTAGTGACAGAAAAGGAGGTATTTTTTTTGCATCGGAATATAAACATTTATACTGAGTATTATATGATAACTTTTATGGAGATATACTAAAGCTAAATGACAGTACAGGTACATCTGAGGGGTTCATTTTTCAATATGGCAGGGATTATCTATTCAGAAAGTAATACTGTGCTGTTCGTGTTCTGTTTTCTTGTTTTGAACTTAAATGATAGCATAGATTTACACATTTGCCATAAATTAGAGGTAGTTTCTTAATCATTTCCCTCTGACTTTGGTTCAGCTGTAGGTTGGTTTTGCTTTCTGAGCTACATTTTTAATTTACTGCCTCAGCCCATCAAGCATTGTGTATAGACTGCATACACACTATTAGTTGTCAGTAGATGAGGGTCCTCATGAGTCATTCTGACAGCTAGCTTGCACTATCAAAATAAAGTAGGTCCTGGTCTGTCATTTCCCTGAAGCCAGAAACAAGCCTTCTCCAAGGAATGAATATCTCTGAGATACTGCAGATCATTTACGCATTAAGTATTTTTACTTTCAAAATGATTTTATTAGAGATTATGTATTCATAAGTACAGCATTGATTGACCCCTCTGTTCTTTCTACAGTTTTTGGCACTGGGCACACATTATGGCAAGGTTTTTTTACTTGACGTCCAGGGAAATATCACTCAGAAGTTTGATGTGGTAAGTATGTGCTGGAACACAATGGATGTGTTAAACTACATGCTGAAAATTTCCACTATACAATATTAGGTTTAACAGTTTGTTAATATGCTGTCCGTCAAATAAATTAGAGTGCTGAGAGTATAAATCTAAACTTCATAGTATATATGAAAACACTTAAAGGTGGCCTTAAAGAGGCCACACAAAATCTACACATGCACACACACACACATAATCTATGTAACTATATAAATTGATATATAAATAGATTAACCGATACCTTGTGTGTGTGTGTCTTGGGTGGGAGAGGCTGAGTATTTTTCATTTGTAAATCCCATGTAAAATCTATTTGTATAACTGTTTAATTGAAAATCTTTTAATTATAGTCATCCATTGGACTTTAAGTGGCATATTTAGAATATTCTTTTTTTTTTTTTTTTT